GTGTGTGTGTGTGTGTGTGTGTGTGTGTGTGTGTGTGTACCTGTGTCTAAATGTCTCCAACTTAGTATGATTCCAACACGTTGGGTTAGGGGCCTGACACAGTCTAGTCTAGTCTGACCTCATCTTAACTACTCATACCTGCAATGACCCTATTTCCAAATAAGGCCACTGTCTGGCATGCCGGAAGTTAGGACTTCAACATTCCAATTTGGTGTAAGGGGATACGATCCAACTTATAATTGGATACAGACTTCTCAAGTTACTCCTCAAAGAAGAGGTGGTTCTGGTTAGCTGTTTTTTCACTTCCTAGAGGGCAGGAAGAGGTGGGTAGAAAAGACAGGGTGGGGGAGGAGGAGGGCTTCTGAGAGCCAGACAATGAGGATGTGGAAAAGAGTAGAGGGAAACAAGGGGAAAATACTCCACTCCCCCCACCACCAAGTTCTGGCTGTTAGAGCTGCTCACTTATCTTCTAGGACCCTAGGGCCTGAGGCTGTTGGCATTTGCTTTGGTCTGTGGCCATCCTGTCTGTGGCCATCCTGTGGCCTTGTGGCTACATCCTGTGGTGGACAGGAGAACAGTGATGTGGCTGTCACCAATGTGAAGTGGCCCAAGGCAGAGCAGAGGTTCCGGAGGAAGTTGTGCCCTCAGGAAGATCAGCTAGGCGGGGGACAAGGAAATCCAGGCACTGAGCTGGTGGGGCTGGTGCATTGACTGGCATCCTGGAGAAGCAGACCCTAACCCTGCCCTTTCCACTTCTTCCTGCAGGGTGAGAAGGGCGCTTCTGGCCCTCCTGGGCTCTCTGGGCTCCTGGGACAGAAGGTAAGAGTGGATAAATCTGAATGGAGGCCTCTCGCTCAGCCTCCCTTGGGTCCTGATGTAGGTGTCCTTCTCTTACCTGGGGGAGGGAGCCTGGAGCCGAATCAGACTAAGGGGAGGGTGTTAGAAGATAGGCCCTGATTGGTCCAAAAAATACCCCAGTTCAAAGAATAGAGTAGCCATGGTCTGGCTGGATTTCTTGATACACATTCTGAAAACCTGCCCCAAATCCACAGCCTTTGATAGACATTTCATTTTAAGTGTTTTTTTTAAGTGGAATCACTTTAAAAAGACTTGAGGTCGACTAAATCTGGAGAGCTGCCTAAAACAGACTCTCTGTGGATGGTCCTGGGGCACCCCAGGCTGTAGTGAAGGAGCAAGCAAGGCTTCACATCATCGCTTTGCATTGCTCAACATCACTCAGCCACCAACATGCATGTCACATTGCAAACTTTGCCATCCCACTGACAGACACTGCTCAAGGCCCCTGCTTCAGCTCCATACCTCTCCCCACTGTCACCAGCACCATGTTCTCCTCAGTCCTACAGCCAGACCAGGCTAGGGCAGGGTGTGAAGTCTCTGGTCTGGAGCCCGGAAGACCACGGGCAGGGAAGGGAGGCAGCTTCCCTCCCTAGGCCTCTGGGCTGTGAAAGGCACAGGTAGCAAGCCAGGGATCAACCAGATCCTCCTGGGGTTGGAGACTTGGCTCGGTTGGTAGGGCACCAGCCAGTGAGTGAAAGTGTCAGGTAGTGAGTTTGAGTCATCATTTCAGACAGAAGAAAAGATCCTATGTGTAACTCTGCCTTCTACCCTCAGGGAGAGAAAGGTGATGCTGGCAACTCCATTGGAGGAAGCAGAGGGGAACCCGGTCCCCCAGGACTCCCTGGGCCCCCAGGGCCAAAGGTATGGCTTTCAGGAATTAGTAGAAGCAAGGGAAATCTTTGTCCATGACCTTTAACTATGGCTCGCCTTCAGAGAATCTCATTGCTGGACAGCTGGCTTTCAATAGCCCTCTACTCCACACATGTGGGGGGTTTTTTCCCAGTGGGTTCTAGAAGGATCACATGATCCAGGCTCCTGCTAACAGGAGTCATACCTCCCCAGGCAGATGAACTGTCCCACTGATTTGGAGGGCTAAAATGGATTGGTATCAAGGACTGAAGGAGGTAGGGCCTTAGCACAACCAGGAGGCCCCTCACCGTGGCTTTGGCTAGGCTGCAGGTCAGTGATCAGCTGAGCCCTCTGATGCAGACGCACCTGGGGGTGGCAGTGATAGGGTAGTTGTGGGTTGGCTGCCTTCTCCTTTTGCTGGAAACTGCAGTGGTGAGACGTGGACTTCCCAAAGCTGATGCTCCTGTGTTGCTCACTCTGCGTCTGCAATGCACGGACATAAAGCGTCTCTCTCTCTTAGCTCCACGTGTGAGTTATTCTCCACAATCTGAGGCAATGCTCTCATTCACCGAATCCTGCTGGACCAGGCTCAGCCTGGGCAGTAGGGTTGCAGAAGAATTGCCCTCAGACCCATAATCCACAGGGATACAGTGCAGGCTTCGCAGCAGCCGGGGGGCAGGTAAAAAGGAAGTGGCAAAAATGCCTAATAAGCAATGTTTAGAGCATCCTTCTCCCACCTACCTGTCCCTGCCCCTCCCATCCTGAGGCTCCTGGAGCCCCCTCCCCCAGATTCCCAAGGCCTTTGCACACCCCTCTGTCACCCAAGCAAGATCCAGTAAGGCATTGTCTGAAGTGTGCTAGCACCTCCCTCCAAAAGAAGTCTGGAGGTAACCCAGTCCATTCCAGGTACCACACACTGGGGCTGCAGGGCAGGTGGATAGTAGTCATCACCCAGGACTCCAAAGAGGAAGGACTGGATGTGGGAGAGGGATTTCCAGAAGGAGGAGAGACCCAGGTCAGGCCCACAGAGTCTGCTGGGTGGGAGCCCTGGCGGAAACCAGCCGGGAGAGAGAGATCCACAGTCCCCACACAGAACATGCGCAGCAAGGCCATCTTCCTCTTAGCTGCTCTCAACTCATCTCTCTTCTTCCCAGGGAGAAGCCGGTGAGGCTGGCCACGCCGGGCCCCCAGGACGACAAGGAGACAAGGTATAAAAGCCCAGAGCCGTGGGATGGCAGTCATGCGGGGGTTCAAACCCCAGCTTAGACTAGATAGGGCTTCAGGCCTGTTCCCCAGGGTACAAAACCGAGTAGCCTGACTCCTAGCTTTAGGGTTTCCTGGTGGGCTTGGACCTCAGCTGTCCACTGAGACAAGGTTACTGTACAAAAGCTAGCCCAGGGGTGGGCTACTTAGGCTGGATAGTAATGCCAAACCCTGACTTCTGGTAGCTTCCCAAGCCATCTGTGCAGACAGGGCTCTCCCTTTCTTCCTGCTACTCCTTATGAAGGGCTGCATGTCCCCCATACGTGCATTCTGGCTGTAATGAGATGGTGGGAAATCAGAGGGGAGCAGAGGGAGGACAAGGGGGTGGCAGCTCCCTGGAGGTGGCAATGGCTGGAGCTGGCTGGCTGACTACACAGTCATTAGAGCTGTTACACCAAAGGGTTCTTTCTCTCTCTTTTTTTGGGGGGGGGCCCGGTCGTGGGGCCTGAACTCTGGGCCTAGGCGCTGTCCCCCAGCTCTTCAGCTCAAGGCTAGCGCTCTACCACTTGAGCTACAGTGCCACTTCCGGCTTTTTTCTTTTTGCTTATGTGGTGCTGAGGAATCGAACCCAGGGCCTCAGGCATGCAAGGCAAGTGCTCTACCACTGAGCCACCTTCCCAGCCCCTCTCTTTTTTTTTTACTTCCTCTGTGTGTGTGTGTGTGTGTGTGTGTGTGTATGTGTGTGCTGGTCCAGGGGCTTGAACTCAGGGCCTGGGTGCTGTCCCTTAGCATTGTGTGTGTGTGTGTGTGTGTGTGTGTGTGTGCTGGTCCAGGGGCTTGAACTCAGGGCCTGGGTGCTGTCCCTTAGCATTGTGTGTGTGTGTGTGTGTGTGTGTGTGTGTGTGTGTGTGTGTGTGCTGGTCCAGGGGCTTGAACTCAGGGCCTGGGTGCTATCCCTTAGCATTTTCACTCAAGGCTAGTGCTCTATCACTTGAGCCACAGCTCTGCTTCTAGCTTGGGTTTTGTTGTTGTTGTTGCTGCTGCTGCTGCCATTGGTGTGTTTAATTGGAGATGAGTCTCATGGACTTTCCAATCAACTGGCTTCAAACCTCGATCTTCAGATCTCAGCTTCCTAAGTAGCTAGGATTACAGATTTGAGCCATTGGTGCCTGGCATCTTTGCTTTCTTGATTTTTCTTTTGTCTTCAATGCTAACAGTGCCCCCCACTCCCACCCCCCGCAGAACAAAACTAGATGTGTGGTTTGTTTTTCACAGTTGACATCACTGACATCATCTCTCAATCCAATAGATACCACCCTCCCCTCACCCCAAGTCTTAGCCTACTTTGGGTTGTCAGCGTGTTTCCTAATGTAGCTGGCCCCCCATGTTTTATCTGGAGGCTCAAGCCTTTACCAGGAACCATAGCCCCCCCAAAACACCACATGATCCCTCTGTGGCAATTTCTGAGCACCAGACAATAAGCGAAAGAGGATTGAGTCCTTGCTACCTGTGCAGAAATGGAACGCAGAAGAAGCAAGGGTTGGGTTTCTGTGCCTAAGGAAGTGTGTGATGGAGAGAACTAGGGAGAGGTGGCCAGAGGGACAAAGGGGAGTCACTAACAACTAACAGGGAAGAAGGACTATCACTAAGGACACAGTGGTTAGGACCAAGAGGGCTCAGAGCATGGCAGGAGTTTTGACCCGCTGAAGGGTAGGGATCTGCACTGTGATGGACAAAGAGATCTGTGTCCTGTAGACCTTAGCTAAAATGGCCCTTCCATGGTCCCTAACACGTGGCCTATCTGGGGACATCGAGTTCTTGTACACCTAGCTGTATCAGTGCATTGCATTCATTTTGTCCTGCAACAGGGGCATCCAGGAGCAGCTGGAGAGCAGGGACCAGCTGGCCCCAAGGTATGTTTCTCACCTGGAGTCATAGCATGAAGCTTCTGAGGTCTTAAAGGGGAGAGAGAGGAACAACAGGAAAGAGACTTCCATGTCCAGCCTTCTGGTGATTGTGCTTAGCCTTGTCCAAGCCTGTCTAGTCCCAGCTGCTCAGGTGAGGACTGCTCACTTGTTCTGGAACCCCGAGCATCCTCTGAGAGTGTCCAGAGTCCTGACAGGTGCAGCTGCTTGGACTGCATTACAGGCAGGAGCAGCCAGTGTGGGCTGCAGGCCCACAGGCTTGTCCTACTCCTCATTGAGATCTCTTCTGCCTTCTAGGGCTCCAAGGGAGAACCTGGAAAAGGAGAGATGGTGGACTACAACGGAAATATCAGTGAGGCTCTTCAGGTGAGTGGGCTCTAGCGCATAGGCTGGAGATCTACTGGGCCTCAGCCCTGACCTTCAACACTGGCAACTCACGGCCTTGTGGCCAGGCCATTCCGCTGAACCTCCAGGAAAAAAAAAAGTTGCTCTTGGTTTTCTCTCCTTTGGCCTCTCCTACTGCCTCCAGGCAAGTGACCTCTTTTCCCTGGCTGGTTATGGGTAACTGAGAGCCCTATTGGAAGTACCCTGGCACCCCATCCCCTGCTTTGGGGCCCCATGATCCCCAGAGAGGTTCCTTCTACTTTTGTCTGGCCCCTTCTCTAAAAACCAGTCATTGACAGAGAGGTGTGCATTACTTATTTCTTAAACACTCTGCAATCCAGTCAAATTGACTGGATCAACCATCACAGGCCCTGTCTGTGTCCACTGTGGGCAGCCATAGCAGCACTGGCTTTTGGAGATGTTCACATACAGCATCTGGGAGTTGAGGGGGGAGGGTATGGCATGGGGCTGGGAGCCAGGAAGCCCACCTCTGGAGGGCTATTTCCATGCTCTTCTTTGAGGGGCCATGATGGGGCCCCAGACGCATTCTTTATCTAATTACATGGTGCTGTTTTACAGGAGATCCGAACACTGGCCTTGATGGTGAGTCTCCTTCTTTCACTTCCTGTTGTTGGGGTACGGGGGGAAGTGCCAGGATGCAGGGCTGAGCACAGAGAGCACAGTCTGAGCGTGAAGATGGGAACTCTCACCTCCACAAAGCACATGCTAGGCTTCCGGGCCATTCTGAGCAGAGGGTGAGCTGAGCTTGACAGGGAAGGACTGGAGTGGCCATAATAGAGTCGCCACACAGAGCACCAATAGAGCCACCATAATGTGGGTCATAGCTGGGCCCTGATAGCACCTGTCTATGCAGCTGAGCACGTTGTAACTCTAGACTCTTTACAGCTGTGGGGGGCAGGAGGAGAGGTTTCTTTCTCCTTTTCTCTGGCCCCTTCTCTAAAAACCAATCTGATATTCTACACTTGGAAACCCCAAAGGTTCCATGCTGCGTTTTGCACATCTGCCTCTGGCCACAAGCTCTGAGGAAATATTTGTATTTAAATCAACCACCACCAAGTCCAGCTTCCATAAAGGAGAAGAGAGGTATTCCCATACTCCTCAGACTGTAGAAATCTTTATTCACTTAATACTTTTTGTAGCTATGCAGAGGACTGGCACACCATGTATACCCCAGACATTGCTCTGGAATCACATAATTAGCCTAGACTATTATATCAAATGATATGGGGGAAATGGAAACTGTTTTCTTCTTTTCCAATCAGTTTTAGCTAGGTGCCAATGGCTCATGCCTATAGCATTCTCAAGAAAGCTAAGATCTGAGGGATCAAGACTCAAGGCCAGATCAGGACAAAAAAAAGTCTGTGAGACTCTGACCTAAAATAACCAGCAAAAAAGCAGGGCTTGGAGGTGTGGTTCAAGTGGTAGAGCAAGCCAAGCAAGCACAAAGCCCTGAGTTCAAGCTGCAGTACCCTCCCCCATCCATACACACAAAAAAGAAAAATAACTGCAATCTTAGTTATCCATTTAAGTACAGAGTTTGTTGATTTTTCACAATTACTTGTCCAATGCACCTAACACAACAGCAACTGCTCAACATCAATCCCACACCTGGCCCTTTTCAGATCTGCTTTCTGTCACATATGTAGATCATATGTGTCTTTTCTAGTGTCATGCAATGGACTCATGCAGTATATAGCTGACTGTCTTCTTTGCTCAATATGATGTGCTGAGATTTGTCCATATTGCTGCTTGGTTCTTTATCCCCACTGAGTAGTATGCCATGGTAGGAACATTCCATGCTGCCATTTGTTGGTGAGCATTCAGGTTGTCTCCTGGAGATAGAGGGCATTGTCTGAGGAGGTCAGGTTTATCTCCCCTCAGTCTGAGGGAGGGAAGATAGCTCTCAGCCCACCCCATTCCAGCCCATATACAGTCAATAACTTATATGTTTCTATGTTGAGGTTACCTGTGTTAATTTCTTTGGAAGAATAAAATGTGTGTGTTACTGAAGAAATGTTTGAGAATGTCTGATCTCTATAAGACAGGCCATCCTTCCTGCTGGGAAAGCTGTTCCAGATGCCTTTCCTTTCTTTCCTAGGGGCCTCCCGGCCTTCCAGGACAAATAGGCCCACCCGGAGCTCCAGGGAGTCCAGGCCAGAAGGTAAAATCCTGCTAGGATGCTGTGTCCCTGAGTATGTAACCCCAGGGCCACCTCTCATCCATGACCCTGTTATCTCCCCAGGGTCTCTCCTATACACGTATTTCCAAGCCCCATGGACCCTGTTACCCACACCTGCCACCCTTTCTCCTCAGTCCTGGGCTCATCCATGGAGGAAGCATAAATAAGATGATTACTGTCCAAGTTGACCCAGGCATAAATGCAAGTCCCCACTATATATATATATATATAAAGCAAAAAGGACTGGGGGTCCTTGTTCAACTAGTTGAGTGTCTATCTGCTTAGTATAATACTCTGAGTTCAAACACTAGTAACCACCATCTGATCCCCCCCAAAAAACAAAAGAAAGTCAAGAATGTGTGTCCCAGGACAGCAGTGAGAATAAAATTCTGAGAATGAAATCCCCGAGGCTAGGTGGACAAGCTTAGAGAGAGCCACCTGGCCCCAAGGTAGCACTGTGACATGTAATTTAAAAAAAATGACTGTCATCTGCTCTGAGGATCACCTCTAGTTGTTCTGGCTACAGGGGGAGATTGGACTACCTGGCCCTCCAGGACATGATGGGGAAAAGGTAAGATGACATCTCTCCAGGCAGCCTCTGAAAAAGGTCTTCTGAGGGCCCAGCAGGAAGGCTGTGGAGCATTGAGAAAGGAGAAGGGGAGTGGAAGAGGTTTCTTGCTGCTGGTCCCAAGAAGAGGGGCAGAGCCAGCCCAGGGAGCTCTCTTCACTGAGCAATCAAGCGAAGTCCTCCAGATACCTCTCCCCCCCCACAGCCTCCCCATTTTTTCTGACCTCTCGCCCTCTCCGCTCCCCCACCCCTATCAATGTGACTAAGAAGAACTGTTGATGTTTTCTAAAGGGACCTCGAGGCAAGCCAGGGGATCTGGGTCCTGCGGGTCCCCAAGGACCCCCAGGAAAGGATGGGCCTCCAGGAATGAAGGGAGAAACTGGACACCCAGGGAACCCCGGAGAGAAGGGAGAGAAAGGGGAGATGGGACACGCAGGCTCACCGGTGAGTGGCCGGGCCACCCACCCCTCCGCATGTCACATCTCTGCATGCTGCTTGCTGCTCCCTGGAGCTGGAGAGTCTAGAGGGGACTCACTTGGTTACACCCACACCTCCAGGGTTCTGAGTCCTCTCCTCTCCTCGCCTGTCTCTTCCCTGGAGAGAGTCACTGAGCCTTGCAGACCTCACTTTCCTTATCCCTGAAGTGGAGCTCAGGACACCTTCCCTGGGCACCCCCCATAGATTGCTGGAAAAGGATAGTCTGAGGTGAAAACTATGTCTTTAGAACCCCAACTCCTGGAGGAGCTGCATGCACAGAAGAGGGGTGTTGGCCTGGTCCAGCTGGGCCACTGACTTGACCTGGAAGCCTTCTCTGGGCCTCAGGGATTTCTATCTGTGAAGTGGGCACCATCCTCTACACTCAGCTTTAGAGGAAGGGAACCACGCCTGTGGGCCATATAGATAATCGCAGATGCTCCGCATGATGCACCTGAGCTTCACTAACAGAGATCTTTGTCGATCTGTAGGGTCTAGACGGCCCAACTGGGGAGAAAGGAGAACCAGGTGACCAAGGGAGGCCCGGAGCTACAGGATTGCCTGGCCCAATTGGGCTCCCGGGATTTACAGTAAGGCGAGAGGACTGGGTATTGAGGGTGTCAGCAGGAAACTGAGGACATGGAAGTTAGGGCCTTCACCGGGCTACCAACCTAGGGTGGTGCTACACTAACCTGCCCACCATCTGACCTGTGGTCCTCTGGATAGCAGCAACTATGTTAGAGTGCACACAGAGTTCTCATCTTCTCAGATCAAATACAGTGGCCCCTGTCTTCAGTGCCACTAGCTCAACAGTGCCGGACTCTGAGGTTTGGAACCCCATCCTCTACCCCCAGATGTAGGGCCTCAGAGGTCAACCAGGCCCATGTGTGACCCAGCACTCTCAGCCAGCTCAGGCATGTGGGGAGAGTACCTTCTCCCCACACGGCCGCTCCTTGGTGGGACAACTCCAAGATGGTAGCAGTTCGTGGGCATGTGGGGTGGCCTCCCTGCTTAGAGGCTCTGCGCTCTGGAACCACATGCATTTTCTACAATCACCACAGATTTAGCAGCCTAAAACAACTCCTATTCGTTATCACATGGCTTCCTGTGGGTCAGCAGGTTGGACCCTCAGTCCAGGGTCTCACAAATTTTGTGATCAAGATGCTAACTTGTTGTCCTATAGCAGTAGCTAAGCATCCTCCTCCTGGATGACTGGATGGTGACAGGATTTTGTTTCTTGCCAACAGTAGTACTGGGGCCCCGGTTCCTAAAAGCCACCTGAGGTCACCAGCATTATAACTCCCCTCATGGCAGGCACTTATATAGAGAAGCTTGCTTCATTTTTAAAGCCAAGACCATAAAATGGGTCTCTCGTGTTCATGCTAGCAAGACAGACACACATGCACGTGCATATATGAGAGAGACATTTGTGGTCTGATCATAGCTTATGTTGTATGTCTTTCACACATATAGCACATAAATATGGGGGTCTATAACAAGCTCAGTGAAAGAAACAGCCACTACCTTTGCCACATGCCCCATGGTATCAACAAGTGATAGGTCCCCCCATGGTCTGTCCACAGCAGGAATCCTCCAGAGCATCAGCCTTTCCTCCTACCACTAACACCTCAGATCCCTGAAGATGGTGGCCATAGTGCCTGCCCAGGGGCCCCTGTCCTTCAGGTTGGCTACCTGCACAACCTCGATGACATTTCTATGCCTACGCATACAGTATGGAACAGCCTAGCCCCAGTTTGATTTATCACCGATGTAAGGCCCCCAGGTGCTGGCCCTCATGTTCTGGTGTTTTGTGTCCACAGGGAGAAAAAGGAGAAGCTGGAGAAAAGGGCGATCCAGGAGCAGAGGTAGGTTACAGCTACTCTTCTTGTTGTGTCACAAGTCATCCTTAGTCAAGGAGCTCATCAAAAACAACAGTCTCTCCAAGATGCCAGCATCTCTGTGCTTGGAATGAAAGGCTGACCCTGGGAAGACAGGAAGCTTTCAGAGCCCCAAGATGGCCGGTGCTGGGTGCTAAGTCCCCCATCTGTACAGACTCTCCCACTTAACAATGTCCCCGCAATATTCACAGAGCTTCAGTCTGGACATGGAAAACAAACAACCATCCCACAGCTGCCACTCAGGGCTCCAGATGAGCATCCCAGAAAATGTGCCACTTGGGCAATCTGGATGACTTTACAGGCGTTTGTCACAAAGTGGTAGGGGAGGCTTTCTTTCCAGAGAGGCAGGGCTCTTTGGAAAGCATGGCAGTGGAGGGAAGAGGAGAGGGTAGCAGAGTAAGAGGGAGTTGGGGGGAGGGGAGCTTTGTAGGAGATGGATGGCACCAGGCATATTTGGAGGCTCAATGGAAAGTGTAAAGAAGACAGTGTTTGGTAGGAAGGCCTGGCCAATCCAAGACCAGCCCAGAGGCCACAAACCCTCCTCAACCTCCCCAGAGGCCTCCCTGCTACTGCCACTCCTTATGCCAACAGCCCCATCCGATTTTAGTGACTGGAACTGATTCTATCTCTTTGTGTGTGTGTGTGTGTGTGTGTGTGTGTGTGTGTGTGTGTGTGTGTGTGGTCATGTCGTATCATGTGTACCTGTACTAGTCCCTATACTAGAGCACTTTTCCTTAGCATTTTTGCTGGCACTCTACCACTTAATCTACTCTCCTTCCAGCTTATTGCTGGTTAATCAGAAATAGGAGTCTCCAGGATTTGTCTGCCTGAGCTAACTTTGAACCAGATCTCAGCCTCCTCAGTAGCTATGATTATCACAAGTGTGAGTTACCAGTACTCAATCTAACTTTTTTTCTGGTCCTAGGGCTTGAACTTAGGGCCTGGGTGCTATCTCTGAGCTTTTTTGCTCAAGGTTAGTGTTCTACCACTTGAGCCCACATCTCCACTTCTGGCTTATTTTGGTGTTACTTGGAGATAAGGGTCTCATAGACTTCCTGGCTGGGCTGGCTTCAAACCATGATCCTCAGATCTCAGCCTCTTGAGCAGCTAGGATTACAAGTGTAAGCTACTGGCTCCAGGCTCTAACTTCTTTTTAAAAGGAGATGAGAAGATGGAGTTTCTGAAGATTTTGTTCTCTACAAGGAGATCATTTTGGAACTGAAAGGCTTACAGGTCTTAGGGATTGTGGGGGTTTGCTTTCCTGGCCTGCCTGCCACTGCTCCTGGCCAGGCCAACCTCCTGAGGACTCCATCCTTGGGAGGCAAGGCATTCTAGAGGAATCCTGAAGCTGAGGCACGGTGACCAGCTCAGAAAGGAGCAGACACCATAGACTAAAACAATGTCTGTGCATCTGATACAGACAGACTCTACAAAGCACCATCTCTGTAAAAGAAGAAAGCAGCTGGACTCTTGGCCTGTACTGTCCAGTCTGTCCTCAAGGGTTAGCATTCCCTCTGTCTCTTCTGCTACAAGCAGGAGGAGAGGGACTTGAAAAATGTTCTTCAGTGACATCTCAGCCTTCTCTCCATTCCAGATAATCAATTTGTGCTCCCCTAAACCAAAAGTCTCAAACTCAAATGCCTACCAGGAGCTGACATGCAGAAGGCCTTAGTTAAAGATAATGGGAAGTGGTGGGGACTGGGGTAAACCAAAGACCCATGCCCCCTCCCCCCATCCTATGGAAAAGCTCTTGTTCTTCTCTAGGCAATCATGAGTCTGTACAAATGTGGCATGCATCTAGTATTACTAGATTATCTTAATGTTTTTTATTGTGGTTGTTTGTCCAGAAATATCTGGAAAGAGCAGATATTCTAAGGTTATTTCCTACTAATATCTTTATTGTTGTTGTTTTGTTTTGTTTTCCAACATTGTGTAGGCCAGTAGATTACAAGGAGTTTCTGACTTGGGCTAAGCTGTTTGGGTGGGGGATGGGGGATGTGCTGGGCTGCTCTCCATTGGCAATCCTGTTCTCCTGTAGTCTTGCTGTCCCAGCTGGACGCTGACCCATGTCAGGAGAGGAGACTGCATGAGTATAATAGGAATTCTCTTTGGCCTCTAGGTTCCTGGGCCACCAGGACCAGAGGGACCTCCTGGACCTCCGGTAAGTTTGGAAAGCTCATTGACACTTCAGTCCCTTGTGCCAGAGCCCTCATGTCTCCTCCCCATGATGGTCCCTGGGCTCAACCCCAGTCTTAGGTCACCAAACTCTCCCTGCTCCTCTTCCCACCCACCATAAACACATTGTCCCAGTGATATCACAGAGCCTGTTGTTGGGATGGAAACCACAGAGTGGCCTGGCAGTCCAGGGCTGGCTTTGCCAAGGAGATTTACTCAATCTTTTGTCATCAGATATCTGTCCCTCCTCCTTCCTTCTTTCTGCTATCCCACCAGCAAGAAAGCTGGATTGAAATAGAAGTGATATGTTTGGTGGGGTGCTGATGGCTCACACCTGTAACCCTAGCTACTCTTGTGAGGCTGAGATCTAAAGATCACAGTTAAAAGTCAGCCCTGGTAGAAAAGTCTGTGAGAGCCAGGCCCTGGTGGCTCACACCTGTAATCCTAGCTACTCAGGAGGCTGAGATCTGAGGATCGCGGTTCAAAGCCAGCCTGGGCATGAAATTCCGTGAGATTCTTATCTCCAACAAACCACCAGAAAACTGGAAGTGGCGCTGTGGCTCAAATGGTAGAGCGCTCGCCTTGAACTGAAGAGCGCAGGGACAGCACCCAAGCCCCATGACCGACCAAAAAAAAAAAAGTCTGTGAGGCTCATAGCTCCAATTAACCACCCAAAAGCTAGAAGTAGAGGTGTGGCTCAAGGGGTAGAATTCAAGCCTCAGTACACACACACACACACACACACACACACACACACACACACACACAGAGTAATGTATTAACACCAGTTCCATGGGTTGGCTTTATATAACTATGACCCCCTAAACCCCCTTGCATTGCAGCTAGAGGTCTTCCCAACCCACTGATGCTGGGATTTGCCTCTTCATGATTCACAGTCGATTCCCCATGGCCCTGGGTGTCTCCTGTTGTCATTGATAGAAGTAGAAGTAGCAATAATGAAAGTAACCAACGTTTATTGAAAATTTCTATGTACCAGATTATTCTCTGCATATGTCTATGTGTTTAAATTCTGCGCTTTCTTCAGTCTTCTCTTCCTGAGACTATGAGTTAGTGATGGGGACCACAGAGTTTTCTGTCGGCCCCTGACTGGAAAGACTAGAGGAAGTCCCAAGCAAGACTTTCCTCAACATTTCCCTTCACTTGTGTTGGACAGGCTCCCACAGCATACTGCACCCCAAACCCTTGCCCTTCCATGACCCAACCTATGGACAGGGAAGTGAGCTGGAAATGTAGTTCTAAATCCACTTTGTTTTGATTCCAAATACAGGGCCTCCAAGGTGTTCCTGGACCAAAGGTGAGAAGAGGTCATTGTGACAGGAGCTGGCAAGGGTGGGGGTGGGGCACATTAACCAGAACAGAAAAAGGGGATAATGCTTGGGGGGCGGGGGCAGGCCATCAGCCGATCCTTCTCTCTAAATTGCACTCTGTGATGCTCTAGCCATTATGGTGCTATCAGGGCACTATGAGGGCCTACCATTCCTTTAACCTCCAGCACTGACATGCAGCATGCTTTAGAGACAAGATTCCACCATCTTTCCATGTACCCCATGAGATAATAGGTTAGAGTCTCAGCAGATGGTGAAACCCTTTTCCCACCTCACGGCCTCAGACCCGTCACCACCCTGAAGTACAGATGAGAGCCAGTGACATAGTATGGGACTCTCCCTCTAGAGAGTCCCCCATTGAGAGCCAAGGCTCTCCCAATCCCTCCTAGAGCATTGTTAGAGAGTCACAGGGGCTGGGAGCAACTGGTATGATGGTGACCTTTGCTTCCTGCCCTCGCATGCTTCAGAGAACTTTGGGGACATTTCTTTTCCTAACTAGTCTGGGCTTGGAGCTAAGGCAGTTGCCAGTAAATCCTGCAGTGTCCCAAACAGCCACCTGTGCAAAAGCCTCACCTGGAACTTTCCGTCTGTTGTCCCCACCTCAACCCCCTCTTCCCTTTGGAGAGTTCAGAGTTCCAGAAGGAACTGAAACAGACTGTTGACTCAGGAGTTTGTGGGATCCCCATCCTGACAGCCCTGGCTCAGCTCCTCAGTGCTGTCCCCTAATTCCATCCCATCTTGTCCTGTGCCCCTCGCTCCCACCCCACTCCATCTCCACTACCCCAGGACACCAGACTTGAGTTGTCTGAGCCATGCCCTTTCTGAGATCTCCTTCTATCTCCCTTCCATTCAGGGGGAAGCAGGCCTAGATGGAGCAAAAGGAGAGAAGGGTGTCCAGGGAGAAAAAGGAGACCGAGGACCTCTGGGATTACCGGTAAGTACCTCATGCCTAGTAAAATGGCTGTGAGGAGCCAGCCAGGGCTCTGACAGGCCAGGGGTGCTGGGCAGGGGACAGGGAGGTTGCAGCTGTTTTGCTGGTCTAATGTTTCTAGCAGTGCAGAACATCAGGTGGACTTCCTCTCTCACCGGGGTAGGACCAAACAGGCTCACGCTCCTGGCCAAGCCTGGTCTTAGAGCTGGAGAGTGTGAGGCTAAGATGAGATCTCTTTCTCTAGTATACCCAGATGGAGGGCTAGAAGGGCCTGAGGTCAGCCTGCTTGGGCCTGATTGGAGCAAATGGAAGGCTCAGGAACAGTGGGACAATGGGACATTCTCTATCCTCCCCTTACTTCCCAGAGAGAATCCAAGCTCTCTCCTCTTGAGCACAAACCACAGGGATGAAGCAAGCCACATTCTGTGGTCCCAGCAGGCTCAGCCACTGGCTGTTCCTGGGGCATCTGCTTATCCACAAGTAGGTGTACAGCTGGATGCTTCCCCTTGCCCCACACTTCAGTGGCCTCTTCACCCCTCACCCTCCTGATGCTCTTTCCATTTTATTTTCAAGGGCTAGAAGAGACTTTAACACTCCATCTCATCATTTTACTGATGGTCATTTGAATTCACATATGAAATTTACATATGAATTCATATTGAATTCACTTAGGCTGGAGGCCACTCATCTGTACCTTAACAGTGGGACTCCCTTTAGCTCCTTTGGACAGTCATCTTCTGTCCCCAAATCAAAGCCAGTCTGGAACCCAGGGAGTCATATAGAGCAGGGGACTATGGGAAGCCAATTTCCCCCACCTTGGCAGGGCTGGAAGGTCTGGCTAATGTAATCACAGCAACCTCACAGCCAAAGCAGAAGGTCTAGTTACACCCTCATTAATGCAACCAGTGTTGAAGGATTTAAGAAGCTGATTCACATGACAGACTACAGAAAACTGATGACTTTAGCAGGCATTTTCCATGGCATAAGCTGGGTCTGGAATGACTAAGTACTCCTTCCTCGGGAAGTGACTTCCTGCCTCCTTCAGCCACAAATCTCCCAACATCCACCTTCATGGGCCCCATACCCCAGGGGAGCACTGGAGCATTTAGTTAGGGGGTTGCCATGCAAATAGCCCAGCAACTAGAAGGTGATACAAAGTGCCAGGGGAAAGATCAAGCTGCCATTTACATTTACTTCTCCAACTTTTGGTAGAGGCATGGGTGCAGAGAAATATCTTCCATAGTTTCAGAAAACTGTTTCATGAGGGGGTGGAGAATGTTGAAAGGAGTGACATTGATCAAGACACATTGTATATAAACTGCCTTGTTAAATGGCAACTCCTCTGTACAACTATTTAAAGGTAATTTAAAAAAAGAAAGCAGTTTCACCAAACAAGCGTATACATAGAAGGCAATTCACACGAACTTGAGAGGACAATAGGGAGTGAAGATGATTATGACTAAGCATGGTTCCATACAGACATGTGACCCTTCTTATGGGGTACATCCCCGCCTCAGCTCAGCCGCCTAATGCCTTGGGGGAAAAAGGACCAGTATTTCTGAACCTTCCGATTTTTCAAAGGCAGCTGGACACCCGGAAATTTAGAGGGAAAGCTCTCATTGTCTTACATTAGATTAAAATTGCATCACTGTAGACCAGACAAAATGTGCCAGGGACTCACAGAAGTCCTGAAAGTCCTGGGTTTGTGCCCTCTGTTCCAGACCTCTCAAGACAGCTCACTATTCATGATGTAAAAAGGAAGCATGTGGTGTTGAGCTCTATTTCTATTTTTAGGCTACACCTGAATGACTAGCAGCCATTATGTAGCCTGGTTTTCCAGGCATTTCCTAATGACTTCCTCCCATTTGCCCTCCAGACGTGTTTCTCAATACCAGAGCACATTGGAGTCACCTGGGAGCTCTTCAAATATACCAAGACCTGGGCCCCACTCTTACAGACTGACTGAATTGGCCAGGTGGGGCCTGGGTAGTCACATAGTGAACACCCAGGAGATACTAATGTGTAGCCAGACTTTGAAAGCCTCAGCTCTAGCATGTGAGCAAGGGTCAAGGTCAGTGTCAGAATCAGTGTCCTAACACTAAGGGACATGTACTTGTTGAACTGTCCTTTTCTTCCCTTTCCATAAGAAGAGGAGTTTTTCTACCCTTCCTCTTCTGGGGCTTTTTCACCCCACTCCACCCCCCCATACACATACCTTTAAGTCCTGAAGTTAAGGCTCATTTTGGAGGCTTTTTTTTTTTTTTTGGTTGGTAGTGGGGCTTGAACTCTGGGCCTGTGCGCTGTCCCTCAGCTCTTCAGCTCAAGTCTAGTGCTTTACCACTTGAGCCACAGCGCCACTTCCAGTTTTCTGGTGGTTTATTGGAGATAAGAGTCTCACGGTCTTTCCTGCCTGGGCTAGCTTTGAACTGCAATACTCAGCTTCTCAGCCTCCTGAGTAGCTAGGATTACAGGTGTGAACCACCGACATGTGGCTGGAGGCTTATTTTTAAGGTTGGTTGGAAGCAGGTTTTTAGGTCTTTGTTTTTTGTTTTGTATCAGTCCTGGAACACGAACTCAGGGTCTGGGTGCTGTCCCTGAACTTTTGTGCTCAAGGCTAGCACTCTACCACTTGAGTCATGGCTCCACTTCTAGGGTCTTTGCTGGTTAATTGGAGATAAGAGTCTCTTAAGACTGTTCTGTCCAGGCTGGCTTCAAATATCAAGCCTCCTGAGTAACATGAGCTACCAGTGGCATGCTGGAAACAGCTTTTAGGAAGTCAGTCTTTACTGGCTAGAGTACCTCCTCTGTCCCCTCCCTGGTTTGTCCCATTGGAATCTGTATTCCTATCCCCCACCCCCAACCCCTTGTCCTAGGTGAGTGATGGGAGCAGCTGCAGAGCCTGGCATTGGAGCAAGACTGTGTTTGTCAGAGTCAGTAGAGATAGGGAGGCCACAGGACACATGGAGCCAAATTGCACCCCTTGCCTGTCCACCCTTTGCCTCAGGAATACATGGCTGACACCCCGGTCTAGTCAGCTGTCTCCTAAGCCTTTTGCAAATATAAGAGTCCTGTCTGTGAGCATATGAATGGATGGAGTTTGTGTCAAGCTTTCCAAACTGTCAAATGCCAGAGACGGTCATTAGCATTATCATGAAGGGGCCAACTCCTCCTCTCACCCAGGTGAAGTAGAGTAGGCCAACCTCTCCCTAGATTTCCAAACCAGGTGCTGAGGTCCACAGCGAGGCTGGCGCAGCACCAGCTAGTCTCCACAAGTATGCAGTGGAGTCTGGGAAGAGGCTACACACACCTGTGTCTCTTCCATGTGAAGGATATCTGGGGAGGGTATACAGCTCAGATTCCAGATGTTTCTCTAACACTGCTTGTGGTAGAGCACTAAAGTTCCCTGAGAGAGGGGCTTCCGAGAAAGGTCAAAGGGGAGGGGGGAGCAGGCTGCCGAGCTCAGAGCAGCCATTGCCCCCTGACCCACTGCTCAGCAGGGCGTCCACAGTGTTCAGTGTCTCCATGTTCTCGTTGGTTTCCATGTAAATACCACCCCTGTCCTCCCAAGCTTATTTCTCCCATTGTGTTTGATTGCCAGCATTTATGTCTGTCCACAGTCATTGCTTTACTCACCTCTCCCCTCCCCTCCCCATTGTCCCCTTTTTCTCCCTCCCATTCCTCTCTTCCCCTTCTTTTGGTCAAACTGTGCCCTTCGTCCAGGGAGCTTCAGGTTTGGACGGCAGGCCTGGGCCACCGGTGAGTGTCACTTCTCCATTACCCCTCCCTGCCCTACTCTACCCCATGCCTGTGATCCCTCTTGTCTGTCCCGCTGTGGCTTTGTTTCCCCCAGTGAGTCCCGCCTTGTCCCACCACCAAAAGAAGGGCCAGCCAGGCTTGGGTCAGAGATACTTTTTCAGGCCTCTTTCCCAAAGACAGCTGGCTGGTCATCGAAATTCCCCTGCCTATAGTGTGTACTCCAGGACCTCTGACCCTGGGAGACTGCCCCTTGGGTTTGTGCCAGGATGCATCTCTAGCAAACACAAGTGTCTGTATGTGCCTGTCATGCTGTGTCGTCTTCCTGCTGTGAGCTCTGTCTATCGCCTTGTGCCTGTGAGGGTATCCAGTCCTGTGCAGCCACCAGCCTGGCATGTGTGGGTGGGCATCTTGGAATGGTGAGGCCAGTCATAGTATATAGGCACGTAGGGGCCAGTCCCAGCCCCACACCCCATAGGCACACTGTAACCACACCTCACAGCTGCCCTGTGGCCCAACAAAAGGTTCAGTATAGAACCAAGTGAGGCACACTGAGATCCTCCGATCTCCATTCTAAACAAAAACAGGCCTCACCTCCTGACCAGAGAGTTCTACCTCTTCTGCTTGTGACACGAGGCCAAAACATAAGTGTCAACCCCCTCCATCTCCAGTCCCCAACCTAAGCTCCCAGTGAAGTAGCAGGACTGTGCCTGCGCTGGCTGATGCCCATTACCTGATATGGTATTGGGATCCTTCACTGTCCAGGGCCAGGGGGCTGGACTTCCCTGCTCAGGAATCACACCAGAGCTACATGTCTCCAGGACCTTCCACCAGTGTGCCTGGCTAGCTGCGCTTTACATGCTACTTTTCAAGCCATGTGAATCTGTACCCTTCCCAGACTACAGGGTTCCAGGGTGCTGGCTGGAGCAGCACTCAGGGTGAGAGGTAGAAGAGAACTTGCAGGGGTCCCTTTGTGGAAAGGGAGGGTAACAGACAGGGTAGAGGGGTGTTGATCTTCTAAGTGGGTCTTGGGGAGAACTTACAACGAACGACAGAGAAGCCTAGAGCTTTCAGAGGCACAGGGACCTCCAGGTGACCTTGTCAGAACCTTGTCTGATTTTGAATGCCTCCTTTGTGCCCTCATGAAGAAGAAGAGGTATACAGGGCCCAGTAGTGCACATCTGTAATCCTAGCACTCAGGAGGCTAAGGTGAAGCTCACTTGAGCACTCAAGTTCCAGACAAGCTTGAGTAACGTAGCTAGACTCCATCCCAAAGAGACAACTGCTTAGGTAATATAGCTAGACCCCCATCTCACGTTTTTAAGATGAGGTGAGATGAATGGAGGTGAGCCCCTCTTGTCACACATTGATAAGGGTGGGCTCTCAATCAGTGCACATACAACTATTCCAGGCATTTCTAAGGCCTCATTTCTCCTCCATGACCCACCCTCATCACCCTCACCTAGCACAGCATCACCTCATTTGGTGCTGGGCAAGGGTTTGGGGGAGAGGGGCCTCACCCCTCAATTGTTTCATCCCACTCATCTTGGTCAAAGAGAAGCAGAGCAACTTTATGTCTCCTGTCTTCTTGGACTTGAGATTTTATTGTGTGTTACAACCTGAAAGGGAAATGCACGGGGGAAGAGCATATGGCCCTGCAGCATTACTGAGTATTTAATACTTCCTGGGTGACATGCACAGCATCCACTCATTGAGCCCTGGGAGCAGCTGCTCAGGACACCCACCTCATGCTCCCGAGGGAGGGACAGCCTGATGCCCACACAGGCCGAGGAATTCTAACATGGAGGTGTCTGAGGCTTTGAGCCTTGTTCTCAGCTATCACCCAGTTCTGGGCTCTTGAGTACTTGCCATGTTCCTGTTATGGGTGCCCACAGCCTCCCGTCTTCCTCGTGGTTGCAAAGGTGGCACTCAGGGACACTGGACTTTCATCAAAGTGAAGCAAACCGGCCATCTCCCCATCATCGCCCTGCCTTTCACAGCTACACTCAGAGCACCAGGCACTGCCTGCCCGCCATTCCCATGTCCCACATCTTTACTGGACTAGGGCACACCATCATGGAGGCAGACAAACAGCAGCCGGTGAAACAGACTTGGCCTAGCTGGGGCTGCAAATGGGGAACCTGGAGAAGAGCCTTGATGACTGTAGCTTGTCACCAAGCAAAGTTTGAGACTTCAGCGCCCCAGCTCCCCTCAACCCTAGGTTAGGAGAGCGCCAGCACCCCCTTCAGGCCAGTAAGGTGCAGACACCCAAGGAACTGACTCCTACCCAGCCAGTTACCAAGGCCCAGGCCTGCGGGCTCTGCAGTGGGCTGGGTGGGGCCAGTGATGCTGAATGACCCCTTCCACCTGCCTCTGTGTGTGCGTCCGCATTGGTCTCTGTGGCATGAAGACCCTCCCGCTGCATGTGGAGCTGTGACAGCAAAGGGGTCCTAGCCCGGTACTCCCACTCCTGGGAAGGGGTCACCTCTCTCTCAAGTGCTTCTGGGGGCAAACTAAGCAATTGTTCTATTGTTTTCAGCCTTGGCGAGCTTGGCTGTGATGGGAAAGCCTTTCTCTCATTGCACGAATCTGGCTCTAAGACGGGAGGCGCTCTCTCCTGAGAGGTTCCCAAACCCTGCCCCCCAAAATGATCATGTCCAGTTGAATGACCACACTGAACAAACCTGGCCTCGCCAACTCTGAAAGCCAAGCCTTGGGCCTCACTTATCTTCAGATACCTGGTGGGATTCCTAGGGATCCCCCAGCCTCTGGCTGCTCACGTTGGCTTTCTTTCCTGTCCCCAGGGTACTCCAGGACCAGTCGGAGTTCCAGGCCCAGCAGGACCAAAGGGCGAGAGGGTGAGGAGAGCTCGGGAGCAGGGAGTTTGGGTGGTCAGGAGGGAGAGAGGGCAGCACTTGGGACCTGGGGCCCAGTGAAGTCACCAAACCAGCCCTTCTCCCTGTCCTTAGCTGTCACTTTGGGCCATTCTCACAGCAGCTGAGGAGCAGGGAGAGTGGGGTACTGGGCAGGCCTGGAGTGGGGGGTAACCCAGTGTGTGGCAATTAGTGGACAAAGACATAGAAAGGTGAGACAAGGAGCAATCCCCACCTGCTGGTCTCCTAAAACCTGTCTCCAGCCTCGGGTGCTGCTTTGTGATATAGCCCGAGCACTAGGCGTGTGGCTCCTACAGTCAATGTGGAGTGGCTTTAGTAATGTCATATAAACACCTAAGTCCAGCCCCACCCCTAGTGGAGCAGAGATGTGCAAAGGCAAAGGCAGTGGAAGTCCCTGTGATGGAGATAGGAGAGTTGCTCCCGGGCATCCTTGGGTCCCACATGCCCAGAGAGTGGCATCACTGGAAGGCAGGCTCCCGCCTGGTTCTGAGCAACATCTGTGTACTCCCCTGCCTGCACGAACAGCTCCCTGTTTCCACCCACCCCTTACTGTTCAGGGGGGAGAGGGGGCACTGAGACTATTTGTCATCTGGGGAAACCAGGATGGCTGCTCCAAATCTTTTCCTTTCCCTCCTCCCCTGATGCTCCCTTGGGCTAGCCAGAACTCACAGGATACTGCCCCGTGCTTCTGGAGGCCTGCAGGGACAGGTTCTGCCAGAGAGACAGGGAAAGTTTCTTCAGAACAGAGTCCACACCAGTAGCACCCCCCCTTCCACAGATCTTACGTCCCAAGGCTCTTGAAGGGTCACAGGAAGGTCTCCTGGGCACTGAAACCAGAAATGGCAGTGGCAAAGGGTCACCGTGGCAAAGAGGGTTCACAGGCTTCTTTCTCTTATTTCAGGGCAGCAAAGGAGATCCAGGGATGACAGGACCAACGGGAGCAGCTGGACTTCCTGTGAGTCTCCTAGGATCAGAGTTTCCCTGCCACCCCTCTCCAGACTAAAAAAATGAAGTCACAACAGAGAGCCCAGAGCCTGGTGCCTAGATCTGGGGCCAGAGAAGAATCTCATTTCTTTTTCTTTTCTTCTTTCTTTCTTTTTTTTTTTTGGGGGGGGTCAGTCATGGGGTTTGAACTCAGGGCCTGAGTTCTGTCCCTGAACTTTTTTGCTCAAGGCTAGTACTCTATCACTTTACCACTTTGAGCTATAGCTCCACTTCCAACTTTCTGGTGGTTTATTGGAGATAAGCATCACACCAACTCTTCTGCCCGGGCTGGCTTCAAACCACAGTCCTCAGATCTCAGCCTCCTCAGTAGCTAGGATTACAGGCATGAGTCACCAGCACCCAGTGAGAATTCTCATTTCTATGACAGAGAAAGACACCCGGGGGCACTGGCAATGTGCTAGAACCCCCCAGAGGGTACTGCAGGGGACAGGTGTATAGCCATGGGGACTATCTCACAGAAGGTAACAATTTGTTCCAGGTCCTTATATCAGGTGCAATGGGAATCTCCAGGTAAAAGTGCCAAGGCCCCTGCTCTTGTGAAAGGACAGAACCAAATCCAGTTCACAGATGGGAGATCTCCACAAACCAGGCAGCTTTCCCAAGGGAGGTGGTGTTGAGGAATGAGCTTGGCTTTCCAATTGCAGCACATTTACCCGTGAAGTTTGTTTGCTTTTGGCAGCACTGAGGTTTGAACTCAGGGCTTTGCACTTGCTAAACAGGTGCTCTGACACTTAAGCTACATGTACAGCCTGTTTTTGCTTTTATGTTTTTGACCAAATCTCACATTTATGTTCATACCAGCCAAACCACTACCCTTTTTTTAAGCTTTCTCCAGAGCTGAGATGACAGACCCACAATAACACAACCAGCTATTGGTTGAATATCACCAGGGCTGGCTTGCAATCTTGATCCTACCGATCTCAGCCTCCCAAGTAGCTCCCAAGTAGTGGGCCAACTGCTTGTGGCTTTGTAGGTCTAAGAAACTGTGAAGGCTAGTGTGTGTGTGTGTGTGTGTGTGTGTGTGTGTGTGTGTGTGTGTGTGTGTGTGTCCTGGGACTTGTCTCACAGACTTACCCACCCAGGCTAGCTTCAAACCATAATCCTCAGATCTCAGCCTCCTGAGGAGCCGGGATTTCAGTTGTGAGCCACTGATACCCAGCTTTGTGGAGATTTTTTGCTACCAAAAGCCTGGCAGAAGAGCTATGGGAATACTCCTCTGCCCTGCTAAGGGCATTCTGTGCCAAGACAGATTGCTCAGAAGCCGGCGCCCATCCACATGAGAGATCTGGGAAGGACACCAACACTGGAGGCCAGAACAGGCATCACTTGCCATCACTCGCCATTTGTCTCTAGGTCAAATTCCTTGAAGGATTTCTCTGGCTTGCCCTTATTGTATAAAATGGGGGTAGTTAAGACTGTCTCCTGGGAAGCAGGCATCCATGAAGAGCTTTCTGAGCCGGGAAGGAAGGAATGTATGACCGCTGTGTTTTCTCTCTAAGATGTCTTCTTTTCCCTGATTTATCGCAGGGTTTACATGGACCACCCGGGGACAAAGGAAACCGGGTGAGTCTGTATGCTTGCACCTTGGCTCTGGTTACTAATGATTTCATGAAGGGTGGAATGTCCGATTGTGGATTCCTGATCTAACGAAGCAAATATAGATTTTCCTGATAAATCATCCTAAATTGAAAGGCTTTAATAGTGAGGAACTTACTCCTGACATGGAAACATCAATTTTTCCACATTTTGAGGGGTGGCAGGATCCCACAGCGGCCATCACTCCAGCACTGCCATCTGGTAACAGGAGCCACGTGTCTTCCTCTCTCCATGTGGCCCCAATAATGGACCCCTAAGTGATCGTCTGAGATCCATCATTGTTAAGTTTTCTCAGGCGTTCTAGGCCAGCTCTAAGAACAAGCAGACAGCTCTTGTAAGGAGCCAAGCCTTAAAAAATTATCACAGCTGCTGTTTCTCTCGGAAAGAGAGGACCAGCTTACAAAACGAGCTGTGCCTTCCAGTCCCCTTGCTTATTGCCATCTTTGCCAGAACGCCCTAAGTATCTCCAGCACTCACAGCCATATGATTATATATAACACATGACCTGGCCGTGGACCGCTGGGCAAAGAAGGATTATTTAACTACAGCTGACGAAGAGATGACCCTGGGATCCTTCCTAGAAGGTCTCTAATGCGACCTCCTCACAGAGGCACTGTCTACCTGCAGCGCCCCCTAAAGGCTCTAGGGTGTCTTGTAATGCCTTATAAGATCCAAGTATCTTAGAAATTATAGTAATACCCAGTGAAACACGGCCCATAATCTAACAGGAGGTACTGAGTTCCCCCAGAGAACTAGAGGCAGAGCATGTGGATTCCAGAAACCAGGTCTTGTGGTTGGTCTCTGAACACTGATAGACTATGTTCATGGATAGAAAGTGGCAGAATCTATATGCTTGGTGTCTAGTACCAATTTGTTTCCATCGTCTTCAATTTAAGAAGTATTTCTTGAACACTTCTACATCCTTAAATACTCTTCACTGGCAGCCGCTCAAAAGCAACTCAATTTTGTCCCACAAATTGTATTAATGAGTGGGTGTAGGCATAGCTACCCCTATCAGATTGTCCATGGCAAGTCCAAGTTAGATGAGCCAGTAGAACACACAGACCAGGATCCATGGCAGATCCATGGCAACCTGTTAGATCTCTGCAACCGTGAGCATTCCACCTCTTCATTGGCATCCTAACCTCCTCTCTAGCTTATGTATAAAAACGTTCTGGCCTAATTACATTCACCTATTTCAAAGACTTTATCAGTTGGCTGGGATCACTGACCCATTTGAAGGCTATGAAATCAGCCTTCAAGTGATGGTGACAGTGTTACTGAAGATGGAGGCGGAGCCACGAGGTACTCTTGTCACAGAGGGCCAGAGGGGGAGGTGGACCAAGCCAGTGGCTCCAATGCTAAAGAAGCCCACGTTGTTGAATGATTCACTGAACCCCAGGAATCAGTGGGATAACTTTTCCCTCCACTTCCCCTTCCTGGATTTCAGACACTGTCTCCCATCCCATTATAAGTAAGGATATACCATTGTCAAAGTGGGGTTCTGAAAACTATAAAGTTGCACAAAGCTTCTTTTGAGTGTACCATATAAAAGCTAGTTGACTTATCCCAAACCGCAGATTTCAGAACCGAAGAATAGCTTAAACTCCGCATCCAAGAATATCTTCTAGCTGAATGTGCCAAAAGAAGCTTTTCTGAACCTCCTCGTTCAGATGCCTCTAGCCCCTAATGGAATTTTGCAGGGGCAGATACTGACATCCAACCTGTGAGTAGGTAGGCTGAAGTTAAATGCCAGGAAGGCTAAGACCGCCTATGATTAGAAACCTCACCTTCCTGCAGAGGTGAAGTAGAATTGTCCAAACACCCTCTCCACCTAAATTTTGGTGGCTCCCTGCAGGGAAACCCCCAAACTTTGCCCTCTTCATGCTTGAGGCATGAAATTGGTTCTGCCTATTTATAATGAACCAAATTTCAACCTTCCAGTTGAGCTTCTCTGTTCGGCCCAAGGACATTCTCCAAGCCTCCTTCCTGTTTATAGAGGGAGAAAGGTCCCCATAACAGTGGGCAAAGGCCTAGAGCCCCAAATTGGGAGCTTGCTAAGGACACATATGGAACCTTTGTCACTAAGGGCACACCCCCCTTTGTCTCTAAGGAGCCCTATGAATTTGGTCTAGGTTCCACAGTCAGGATTTAAACAAACAAACAACCTGGTCAAAGAATGAAGGGTAGCATGCACTAGCCATTGGATCGTGAGGAGAGTTGGGTGTTATATGGACCCACCAGCAAGCCGGCCAACTGCAAAAGTCCCAGCATGCCACAGGGCTGCACCTCTGAGATGCTCGCCTGTTCATACGCATGTGCATGCATGCAACGTTGTCCTGTGCTTCCCAGAGTCCTGTCTCCTTGCCTCCCCCTCCTCTACTCTCCTCTGACTTGGCACCTGACTCATCCTTCTTAATCCTTCTATTTTCCTACCTGCTATGTTCACTCCATTATAATTCCATGTCCTTCATCTTTCCCCCTTTCTTTCCAATTTATTTTTTCTGAAATCAGTTTTATATATTGAATTGTATTTGTCCCTTTCTCCACTTACCAGCTAGAATTCCCCCTCACAGGCCCAGCTGAGTATCCTTGGCCTGGGAGGCTGGAGTATGTAGATAAAGCTACTTCCGTAATACCTTCAAAGACACCTGATTTGGGGAGTCACCCAAGCCCTCAGAACACAGCACCCCATAATGTCAGAGACCCACAATGCATGCCTAGCATAGGGGCCATCCTCTCTTACCACCAAGTCTTACAAGAACTAAAATCACCCCAGTCTTGAACAGCCCAGCCCACCTCCTGGCCCAAAGAGATGGAAGGACCACACTTCCTGAGACTGCTTGCCAAGGCTTGCCCATCCCAACAGCTGGTGGTTTTGTTTGCCTGGCATGCTATGGCCTTCTCATTGGTGGATATGTCTTGGAGCCAGTGAAATTATATCCAATACATGCACACATGTTTCCTCTTACACTCAGGTTATTTGCTAAGGATGGGGGTGTGGTTTAGAAAAATTCATTTTGAATAATACTTTGGAGGGAGTGGAGCTGTGGCTCAAGGGGAAGAGCACCACCCTTGATCAAAAAAGCTACGCAAGAGCACAAGGCTCTGAATTCAAGCCCCAGTACCTGCATGCACATATATGTATGCACGCATGCACGCATACACACACACACACACACACACACACACCAATGCATTGGCAATTGCAGATGACCTCTGGAATCATGAACTTTGGGTGATTTCCAAGAACTTGGAGAAAACATCAAAAGTATTCTTAGCTCCATCTCCTTCTAACAAACACCCCCCGTTGCTTGCCACTACAGGATGCAGGAAGCAGCTGTCACTGAGTGACACTGTATTATTAGGCACTTGAGTGCTCAAAGGCCTTTCAACAAATGGGTGAAGCTCATGTTAGCCTACTCATTGACTCGTGAAGGAACTGAGATGCCAAGAGATTGCATCGCTTTCCTATAGCATGCCACTGATCATTGCAGCATCTGCTCTGACTCCGAGCCTTTGCGCTAGCATGCTGCCTGCTGCCAGGCTCTTGTCATCCAGGAGTGGGACAGTGGAAGTCTCTAAGCATTAGACAACCAGTCCTCCAGATAGAAAGCTGCCTGTGAAGACTCCTTGGGGACACATATGGCCCCCATAAGGAAATACAATGTGTGAAAGTCCAAATTCAAATTTATTATTACAACACGGTTCTTCTCCCCCCCCCCTTTCCATACAACGGGTTGAATTCAAGGCCTTGTGCTTGCCAGGCAGGCCTTCTACCATTTGAATCACACCCTCCATCCTAGTTTGCTCTCATCATTTGCTAAAGACAGGGTCTCAAGTTTATACCCAAGCCTGGCCTGGTCCACAATTTCCTTCCTCTACCTACCTTGTAGCTGAGATTACAGTACAACGACATTTCTGGTTTATTGGTTGAGATGCATGTGTCATAACTTCTTTAATCCAGGCTGGCCTCAAACCACAGTCCTCCCAATCTCTACCTCTCAACTAGCTGAGATTACAGGTGTGAGCCCTCATACTCAGCTAGATTTTTCAATTTTATGACTTGCCCACAGCGCTTCTTTAAATAAACCCTAACATAATAAAATAGGACTTGATTTAGAAGAATGATATTTACTGAAGCCTTTCAGAGATGAATGAATTCCCTGAACTAACATGTTCGTATACACAGAGCTGTCTGAAATAAAAAATAAGATGCATTATTTAAAGTAGTTGTCTGGGCTGAGAGCATGACTGTGGAGCCCTAAATTCAAACCTGGATCCCACCAGAAATAAATCAATAAACAAACAAACAGTAGCTATGACTGGAGACCAGAGTGAATCAGAGGCACACATGAAATTAGAGGGCCCAGTGGAGAACATGCACATTACATGTGTGCAGAGGCGTGTACTTGCATGTACTCTCCCATGCTACATTCCTGTACCTGTCTGCACATGCCCTGGATGCTAAACAAAACCTCCATGCTCCCTAATAGACGGTCAGAAGGATGGAAATGCAGACAAAATGTTGCCAGCTCAAGGCCCTTTAGAAGTAGACCCTCAAAGAGTTAGATGGCACCCCACCCCCTCATCACAGACTCTCCTACCACAAAACTGTGGTCTTTTCAGACTACCATTCCCTCCCCCACCTCTTCCAACTGTCCTTAGTCTTCTGCCTCCTGACCTCTAACCTCCAACCTCTTGCCTCCTGGCCTCTAGCCTCTTGCCTCCAGCTTCCTAACCCCCCTCCCCTTCTACCCTCTTAGCCTAATTCCCAGGTGTTTAAGAGGAGGGAGGTGGATAATGACCCCAGACTCTACTGAGAGTGGGGGGGGGGAAATATTCTAATTAAGTGGCTACTTCTCCCTCTTCTCTTTTCCTGGCTCTAACCCTAACACAGGAATGATCCTAAAGTTTTGATGTTGTTTTTGTTTTTCTCGGACTAAACCATTATTTACAGGGGGAGAGGGGGAAGAAAGGCTCTAGAGGGCCAAAAGGGGATAAGGGAGACCAAGGAGCACCTGGATTAGATGCCCCCTGTCCGTTGGTATGTTCTCATTTCTCACTTAGTCTTGTTCTGGTTTTGTTCCCTAAGTGTTACAAGTTGCAAACAAAGAAGGCAAATAGGCTAAAATGAGAACCAAATCATGATACTGGGGCCTCCTGAGCTTTGGAAATTCTGCCCCGCTGTGTGGGGGCGGGGAGATGCCTTAAAACCACAGCTGCAAGTAATTTTGCCCAAATCCCTTTCCTTTGAAGATGCAGAACAATTGATGCTTGCAAGTGGAAGAGCCACGGGGAGCTGGGCCTGGGGAGAAAGCCTCCTGCCTGGAATTTCAAGCCTCAGATTTGCCTTCTTCGTTCCAGGGCCATTACTGTGTGGCCAGCACTTCTAGTATCTGAACCTCACTTGGTCAGGATGCAGAACACAGACTTAGGGTCTCCCAAGGGCCCCTGAGACTCAACACTAGCACAATGAGGTCAGACAAGACCTTTTCATACCCAGCCTTTCAGTGGCCACCAACCAGCTAAGACCTTGAGCGTGATATAAAAAAAAAAAAAATCAGTAGACAGCTGAGTGCCAATGGCTCACGCCTGTAATCCTAGCCATTTAGGAGGCTGAGATCTGAGGACTGAAGTTCAAAGCCAGCCCAGGCAGGAAAGTCGGTGACACTTTTATCTCCAATGAACCACTAAAAAGCCAGAGGTAAAGCTATGGCTCAAGTGGTTAAGCATTAACCTGAGGAAAAGCTCAGGAACACTGCCCTGAGTTTGAGCCTCAGGACTGGCAGGCACACACACACACACACACACACACACTCACTCAGTAGACAACCACAGAAGGCCTCTACAATTACCTGGCAATTAATGAATGATTTGTGGCCCACCTGCCAGGTTTCTCAAGTGCCCCGAAGTTGAAGGTTATCTGTGATTGGTCCATGGCTAAAGTCTTTGGGGAATGGCGGGGGGGGGGGGCAATGGGGACTTAGTCTTATTGGTAGTTACCTCAAGGGTCCTGCATCCTGGCCAGTGTGAGAATAGGCCTCTCCACTCCATAGTCGGAGCTGGCTAACTGTGACCTAAATAATCATCGTGGTTGGTTTTGTGAACAGGGACATCGAGGTTTTAAAGGAGAGAAAGGGGAGCCGGGGTTACCAGGGCTGGACGGACTGGATGCCCCATGCCCGTTGGTATGGCATCACCCTCCCTTGCCTGATGGCCGATTTGGGCCACCCACGTGTGCAGTTTGTGCCCGTGTGCCTCCGTGCTCCTCCTGATCCAGCCACCCTGTCTCCACTGCCTGCTTCTTCACTCTGTCGATGCCAAGCATTGCCCTGCCTGCTGCTCTGTGACCTCCAGCCATGCCTCTTGCATGCACTTTGTCAAGGCATTTCCTTGGCTTCCTCCTGAAGCTGTTTCTGGAGACCCTCACCTTGACACAAGCCAGTCTGGGCTGCCCCTGCTGCTTTTAGCTATCCCTGCTGCCAGAACCCAAACTAGGAAATAGCAGTCTCTGACAGACATCATTTACCTTTATGCCCTGCAGTTTAATTCTGACGGCACCAGCTAAACACCTAGCAAAGCATGGAATCATACACCTGAGTCACCACCCTGCCACCACCCCCTCATGATTTGGCAGGGGACCGGTGGACATGCTTTTAGACAGAGAAATTCTAGAGAGCGTACTTGCCTATTTTCTTCTAGGCTGGGTCCTGAGTCACTGTCCAGGTGACAGCACTGAAACTAGTAGATGGCCTAGGGTCTCGTATTGAGATCTTAAAAGGCTCCTCCTTCTTACTTGAGTCCCAAGAGCCATTACAAAACTCTTCTCTGGTGTCTCTCTCCTTCATATTCAGGTGGCTGGCCATGAAAAGCCTAGAAGAAATAGAAAGGTTAAGAATGTAGTTTAATCTGGGCACTGGTAGCTCACCCCTATAATCCTAACTACTCATCAGGCTGAGATCTGAGGATAACAGTTCAAAGCCAGCCCTGGATGCAAAGTCCATGAGACTCTTATCTCCAGTTAACCACCAGAAAACTGGAAGTGGAGCTGTGACTCCAAGTAGTAGAGCACTAGCCTTGAGCAAAAGAGCTCAGGGACAGTACCCAGGCTCTAAGTTCAATTCCCGTGACCCACAAAAAAGGAAGAAAGGAAGGAAGAAAGAGAGAGAGAAAGAAGGAAGGAAGGTAGTTTAGAAGGGGCAGATGGTGCCAAGGTCCCCTTTTCCAGACCCACCCACAACACAAGCCCACATTTGTTCCTTCCTAACCCGGAATCCCTCAAGACATTCTAGATGTCCTTGTAGACCCTCTTAACTAACTGAAAGTACAAAGTGACACTGAAAACTGAAAGGAGATTTGGCTCAAACGGGTCCTACCTGCCCTACATTTCCCCATTGTGGTTAGAGTTTGGGAAGCAATTTTCAGGTCAGAATTCTGGCTTCCCATCCCCCACCTCCATCCTGGGAATCAGTCAAGAATTCCCCACCTAAGAGAAAACCACGTAAGGAAATCTGGGTGACCATAAAGGCCCTTGAAAGGTCTGGGGGCTTTTTTATACCTAGTATATGTGACATAAGCAAGCGCCCAGAGTCCTGAAGAGCTCTGCATACAGCAAGCGTGGCATCCTGGGCGACCATGGTTTCCAAGGTTCCTCACTTATCCCTGCCTCCCCTGGACCCTGGCTCCTCCCCCCATCTGAGCCCCTCCAGACCTCCCGCCCCTTCAACACTGCTTTCTGCTTTCTGCTTGCCCCTCCCACTCTCATACCCTTGCCCTACCCACATGCCAATGGGAAGGCTGGGTGGCCCACAGAGGCTCCTCCCCTCCCAGGGTCTGTGTGCAGCCTGTTGCATGGTGGCATGGCATGGTGGTCTAGGAAAGGGACAAAGAAGGTCACTATGAAATTGGAATGTGCCACCTCCCCCCAGCTGTCCCCCCTCCAACCAAGAATGGGAAATGAAGATCCTGCTTATTTGATCCTTCACACAGAGGGATGTTTTCCTCAATGACCTCCCTAAGGATGCATCATTTGTCTATTGTCTGTGGACATGTCCATACACCCCGCCCTACCTTGTGTCTCACTCTGCCTCCTGTATTGTGTTTTTATGGACTTGAGGACAGGGAGCCCCTGATCACCACTCTAGTACAAGATAACTAGATTTCTTCTGCCTTCCTGCTGAATGTCAGGTGCCAGGAGGTCCCCGTGTCAGCTGTGGGTGGGAACAGTTGGTCCAGGACACAGAAGCCCCCCTTCAGCCTTCCTCAGGACTCCTCCCCATTGCGCTGTGCCTGGCTCAGTTTCTGCAGTTCTAAGATCCAGGCTGTCCTTCTATTAGACCTGGCCTGAGACCCAGAGCTTGCTCCTGCATTGCCTTCCCAACAGTGGCTCTGGAAGATGACTAGATTCCACCCCCCCCCCAGAGTGTACAGAAAGGCCAGGATGTTAGACGTGAGAAGACTCAGAAAGCTTCCATCCCAGGGACAGAGCATCCTGTGGCTACAAGGAGCTCTGGGATTGCCCCCCAACAATGCAACCTATCCTGCTATTATATTGTACCCCAAATTCCCAGGGATGGCTGAAACTGGGCCAAAAAGCCTTTCCCTAGAGCTGAAGGCAACCTAGAGTCCTGTTGTAGTACCTCTGAGATTGCCTGTCCCTTTGTTTGTACTCCCAGCCCCGCCAGGGACTGTCTAAAATGCCTCTTCCCACACAAAGGAAGACAAGTTTAAGAGATCAGGAAGCCAGGATGGTCACTGCTTGCCTCTCCTCACCCAGGCTCTGCAGAGGGAGATCTGCGGGCCCAGGTGCTAGGTGTGTTGGTAGAGCTTCATCAGACACTGTCCTCTCAGATACTCAAGAACATCAGCGCTTGCTGCTCCCATTGACCAGGAAAGCCCCTCCTGTCACAGCATTATAGCTACATGTGGCCTTGACCAATGGAAAAACAAAAGACAGCCACATTTGTTTCCTATACCTGTCCAAAGTTCTGATTCAGAGCATTGAAAAGAAATAGACAACAGTGGTAGGCCACATCTCCACCAACTCCCAGGTGTTTGTGGCCCTTGTTCCCCTTGCCCTGACTGCTGGGCAGACAGTCCTGAGGGTCTGAGCTCTCTGCCTCCCTTCCTTCTTGTAGGGTGAAGATGGCTTACCAGTCCAGGGCTGCTGGAACAAGGTAAGCCTCCTAGAGGCCCAGGCGGTGTCAGGGGTCACAGGTGGACTGAGCCCTCTTCCCAGCAAGTGCCATAAAGCTTGTAGTTTCCTGTCTACAGAGGAGGCAGCAAGACATGGGTCAAGAAAGGTCAAAGACAGGGTATCCATTACACACTTGTAGACATGGGAATGATTTTCAATGTGTCAGAACCCCAGTGTATGGAATTGCTACCCAGCAAGCAGATGACATCTTTACACTTTGTGTGTCATACCTGCTCTCCCAGGAGCCTCAGGACATGTCTTTTATTTTTCCAGTCATGGGGCTTGAACTTAGGGCCTGGGCTCTGTCTCTGACAGCCTCTTGAGTAGCTAGGATTACAGGCATGAGCCACCAGTGCCTGGCTGGGCCAAGTATTAGAAGAGGTTATCAAGTAGCTACTTCAGCATTGATAGGAATGTCATTTAAGCCACATCATGACATAAGTTAAGTTAAGCTTAAATTCCAAACTCACATGGTTTCTATACCTTCTTATAAGGACTGTCCAGCTCACCCCTTCACCCTTCCCCATGAACTTTAGCCATCAGAGCCTTGTGCGTGTATACATTTGACCAATGGCCTGACCTCCTCTAGAACCCAGAGTTCCTGCAATGATGAAGTTTCACTGATTCACTCTTGCCCTGGTATTTGCTACCATTAGAACAGTTTGAAATCAGATACTAGTAGCTCATGCCTGTGATCCTAGGTACTTGGAAGGCTAAGGTCAGGAGGGCTAAAATTTGAGGCTAGCCCAGGTATAGATTTGAGACCCCTTCTCAACCAATAGCTGAGCACAGTGGTGTGCACCTGTCATCCCAGCTAGGTGAGAGGCCAGCCTGGTCAGAAATGTTCTTAAGACTCCATTTCAGTTGAAAAGCTGGACATAGTGGCACACATCTGTCATCCTATTAGTGTTGAGAAGCATAAAATAGGCAGATTTCTATAGAGGTGTGACTGGATAGAAAGTAAGATTCTATCTCAAAATAACCAGAGCACAAAAGGCTGGAGGTATAGCTCAACAAGAAAGCACCTGCCTAGCAAGCACAAGGTCCTGAATTCAAACCCCAGTACTGAAGGGAAAAAAAAAAGAATCTAATATCACAAGGTCAGGTTACCCCACTCAGCCACAGCTCCCCCAAAGTGCAGAGTCCCTGGCCTACAGGCCATGGATTGCCTCCTCCCATCTCCCACTCAAACTTCTCACCAACACTACTTGATTCTCAGGGGCCTGTGTGTCCTTGTAAATAGGTTGGAGGTCCAGCCCGCTCAAGAGCTTGAGCTCCACTGGTCCTGTGTGTTGGTTTGTTTTCCAGTGATGCAGTCACACTTGCAGTGAGATGGATACATTCTCCTGCATTCTTGCACACAGAGTTCTATCTGTTCACAAGATTGGCTCAGGAAAGTGAAACCACCATGACCCCAGACCCTAGGATGAATACTTGGGTTTCCCAGAACCTAAATCAGCCCCAACTAAAGAAAAGAAAAGTCAACCCTTAAGGGAATGCTCCTCAAGAATCCGCCCCTCACTGGGCACTGGTGGCTCACCCTTGCAATGCTAGCTACTCAGGAAGTTGAGATCAGGGGATCATGGCTTACAGACAGCATGGACAAAAAAAAAGCTTGTCCCTCTTATCTCCAATTAACCAGCAAAATGGGTAGAAGTGGAGATATGGTTCTAGTGGTAGAATGCCCGCCATGAGTGGAAAAAGCCAAGTGAGAATGTGAGGCCCTAAATTCAAGCTTTAGTACAACACACACACGCACACACACAACACACACACACAGACATGCACACGCACAACACACACACACACACAGATCCTGCCTCTCAAGCAGAGCCTCATCCTCTTTTCAATTTGAGAAGACTTAAAAGTTCCACAGGAGCCAGGCAGAAGTGTATGTCCAAAGAAAAGGATTTTCTCCTTCAAAGTTGCCTCAGGTAGTCAGGTGTACAAACAGTAGAGAGCTTAGCAAGAAAACCAGGTCTTGGAGAAGTAAGTAAAGAGCCTCCTGTCTATTCCTCACACCATAAATTTCATCTGGGACAATCCAGTGAATCATGAAGCCTCCTAGTTAGTATAGGAGGAGAGTGCCCTCTTGTGGTCATGAAGGGAGTGTCCTGAAGGAGGGAAATCCGCCTCAGTTTCTTCCCAAGAGGAGTTTATGGTTACCCAGTTTCCCTGTTTCGAGCTCCACCAGCCCAGGCCAGGATCTGCCTCCTTTCCCTTCCTACAAGGCAGTAAACATTCCCCCAAACTCTGAGACTAACTGTGCACTGTTTTGTTTTTGTTTTGCAGTGATACCTCTAACCTTGGATTGGCCTGTGTGTGTGTTTGTACATAGAATATTTATTTTTATACAGTTTTCACTTTTTGAAAATGCCGGAAGTATGATGCATCTTACAGATTATTAAAAGAGAGAGAGATAGGAAAAAACCTGCATATTTTGTACAGAAAATAACAACCTCTTCCCTTTGTTCACAAGCTGTTTTGTATAATTCTGTCTCTAATACACATTCTGTTTGAGTACAGTCTTAATGCTTGCATGATATTTGTGCACACCTATTAAGCCTTAAAGCCTAATGAATGATTGTCTTTCAGTGTGGGAAGGGTCTGCCAGCACCAAGATTTTGCTGTGTTATGTGGACACTCATATAAACATGAATGTCCCAGGATATTTTGTCAGACTAGATGTGCTGGAGGATATTTTAAACTATTACAGATTTTCATAACTTTAAAAAATAGAGCATCCACCTGGTGCAGTGGCTCACACCTGTAATCGTAGCTACCCAGGAGGCCGAAATCTGAGGATCGCAGTTCAAAGCCAACCCAGAGAGGAAAGTCACTGAGACTCTTATCTCCAATTAATCACCAGAAAAATGGAAGTGGCCCTGGGCTCATGTGGTGGATCCCTAACCTTGAGCTAATCAGCTCAGGGACAGTGTCCAGACCCAGAGTTCAAGCCCTATGACTGACAAAAAAAAGGAACATAGCAATTCATAATCTTGATTAATCTCCAAATTAAGTAGCTTCTTTCTTGTGTGATCAAAAAGCATTAGAAGCAGGGGTCCTCAGAAGTATGGAGTAATGTTGGAGAAGTTAGCTTCAAAAAGGCAGGAAGGGGACTCTCTTAGGCAACATCTTTTGTAACAGTCCAAGGTTATTACAAGGCCACTTGTACAGTTAGGGTGACAGCAATGGCTGTTTGCTATTGCTTTGGGATTTGGGTAGAGCTTTTTGTTTGCTTTTTTATTTTTCTCTCTACCTTTGTGCAATGGCCATTAGCAACAGCCACTGCAGATTAGTTATTAGACTGATATGAATTTTTGGATCTATTCACAATTAGCCAGGGAGGAACTTTGCCTTTTCAGCCATTCTATTCCAGCAAAGAAGAGTAAGAACCACCCCAACTCCTAGATCTGGGCCACATGGGGTTCAGAAGTTGTTGGGGGTTGTTTTTGTCTTTTCTTTTTTGGTACAAGGGATCAAACCCAGGATGTTGCACTTGCTAGGCAAGTGCTTTGTCACTGAGCTACATCCCAGCCCCAGAAGTTTTTATTTTTGAAGAAATAATCATCAGAATCAGGAATCAAGCAGCAGTCAGTCACACCTGTAATCCTAGCTATTCGGGAAGCTGAGATTTGAGGATCACAGTTTGAAGCCAACCTTAGGCAGGAAAAAAGTCTGTGAGACTCTAATCTCCAAATGACCATGAAGAAGCCAGAAGTGAAGCTGTGACTCAAGTGGTAGAATGCTAGCCTTGAGCAAAAAAAGTTCAGGGACTGTGCCCAAGCCCCAAGTTCAAGCCCCAGGATCAATACATGCACACACAGAAAGAAAAGAGAGAGAGAGGAAAGAAGGAAGAAAGGAAGGAAGGAAGGAAGAGAAAGGGAAGGAAGGAAGAAAGAAAGAAGGAAGGAAGGAAAGAAAGAGGTGGGGGGGAGGGAGGGAAGGAGGGAAAGGAAAGAAAAATCAAGTACAGTAGCTTATGCCTTAAATTCTACCTACCTAGGGGGCTGGGGGTTTAGCCCAGCGGAAGGGCGCCCGCCCGGCATGCTCAAGGCCCTGGGTTCGGTCCTCAGCCCTGGGGAAAAAAAAGCTACAAAAATCTACCTACCTGGGAGGTAGAAATAGGAGGACTATAGTTCCAGGCCAACCCCTGCTAAACAGCAAGACAAAGAACAAGCTGAGTGTAGTGGTGCATGGTAGGATCTCAACTCTGAGGTCAGGGAGGATTGTAATAATCCAAGGCCTGACTGGGCAGAAAAAATGAGACACTATCTGAAAAGTAACTAACTCAAAAAAGACTGAGAGAGAGGTTCAAGTGGTAGAGCATTCACCTGGCAGGTAAAAGGCCTTGGATTCAATCTCCAGTAACAGAGAGAGAGAGAATTGTAGTTCTATCCATTAGTTGTACTCTGCTTTGTAAAGGTCTTAATGACTAGGTAGGTATTACTATGGTGTAGTGCACAGAAACTGGCTGCCTTGCAGCATCAAATGGTGCTTGTAAAAAGCATGAAAAACACAAGTAACTCCAGGAGTTAAATACTCCCATCCCTACCTCATAGTCAGCGTTTGCAAAGCTTAGACAGGGCTCTGTCCACATGCAAACTCTAATACCCGGACTCACACTCATGGAACCACAAGCTGCCCAGACCCAGGTCCTTCCTCACAATATCCACTCCCCTTCTGAAATCAGATCACCACCTCCTCTCAGCCTTGGTTTGCTCCTTTGAAAAGCAAAGCGGCTGAACTAGAGAGGATCCCTGTGGAGCCTCCCCTCCCCTTGGCCCCAGACCAGGGCCTCCAGCCAGTACCAGGTGCCTTTCCTGTGGGGGACAGTGCCATGCATATACTTTCCAGGTTGCCAAGGTGATAGTCAGATCACCATCACCTCAAGAGGGACAGCTGCCCCCGTGTAGCCCATTGGCTGCCAAGATTGGATGCCTCCACTTTGAGGGGACTCACTGCTTCTCCATTCAGAAGGGAAAAGTGGATCTATAATAGTAGGGCCAGCCAGGACTGGATTTGTCCTTGCACGGCTATTTGGGAGGACCCGGGGAATCAGGGCAGCTGGTTCTCCCGAACCCACGGCGCTCTTCCTTTCAGGCCATGCACTTGGGAGGATGTCTGAATAGAGTGATGTTGACAGGACCCCCCAGAGACTGCAGTATCTGATGCTGGTGGCTGGGGACACCCTGTTCCACAATCCCCTACAGAAATAGATTCAAAGATTCAGAAATAGGGCAGGGTGCCAGTGGCTCACACCTATAATCCCAGCTGCTTGCGAGGCTGAGGTCTGAAGAGGGTGGTTCAAAGCCAACCGAGGCAGAAATGTCTGAGAGACTCTTATCTCCAATAAACCGAGGCAGAAATGTCTGAGAGACTCTTATCTCCAATAAACCAGCAAAAAGCCAAAAGTGGAGCTGTGGTTCAAGAGCACCAGCCTTGAGCAGAAAAGACAGGCAAGACTACAAGGCCTTGAGTTCAAGTTCTAATACCAGTGTGCGCACTGGTATTAGACAGAAGAGGAGACAGTGGCAGGAAGCCCTGTCTAGGCAGAAGGAGATCCCTGCTATTACTCTGAGGAAGCCCCACATGTCACTTGGAGCCACGTTAGCCTGGCTATGCACCCACACACCCTGTCCTGTGGACTTCAGTCCTGTGTGCATAGCATTATCTCCCCAGGTGACTGGTTGGTCACCTGACACTCCTGACACCATCTCCCAGTCCCCAGGTTTCTCCCCACAGATCTTAACCCAGGGAGCAACAGGCAGGTTAGAAGAAGGACTTGGTAGCAGCTCCTGGAACCAGAGACACACCAGCCACACAGGGGAAAGTTCCTCAGAAACTGTCAAGTACTGAGTCTTCAAGCCTTTGTCCCCCATGGACCACTCTCCCACTTGTCCCAGGGCACATGCTCACTGCTCTGCCACAGGGGTGGTGTGTGTTGCCCGGCACTATTTACCCAGAGACATGAAAACAGCTTAAAGACTGACCCAGAGCCCTGGGATGGCTGAGGGTGGGCCACAGTAATGACTTCCTGAGGTTGGGGACCTGTAACTCTAGTTATGGAAGCTGGAGGGACCCTCTCCCCCAATCATTAAAGGAAAGGCTGGCTCCCATGGCCCCCTCTCTGTCCTATCCTGTTTGCCTCCCTTCCTGTCACCCCAATTTCGTCGGCAGAATGTGGTGTGATGGGCCTGGAAGATTCAGGGTTAGCTCATAGGAGTCTGGAGACACAGTATCTGGTTCTTTCTCTACTGCACACTAGCACTCTGGCCTTGGTTAATCCCAAGCCTGTTTCCCAAGAGTAAAAGGAAGAAGTTCAAGTTGGATGACCTCGATGGATTCTTTGCACTCTGACACCCTGAAGCCCTCAAATAGCTCAGTTTTGGAAGAGGGGAACCCCAGGTACTGGGGAATTCTGTGGCCCCTCTGCCCAGAGTTGCTTGGCTGCAAGGATTTTATGCATGGAGTTGGTGTTACTAAATTGTGTGGCATGTGTGTGATGCATAACCCTGAGTGACAAAAGGAAGGGGTCTGCATGGCATGGAGTGAGGGTGAATGGCTAGGCTCCCCCAAAGCAAGAACGGCAGAAGAGATTGTGCTTCACACCGGTCTCTTCCCTGAGAGCTTAACAGGGAGTAGCAACATAGCTCAACCACCTGGCCCATAGTGGTTCTCGCAAGGGTTAGGAGCACCAGTTGGCGTGGTAAGACTTGTCCTCCCATATACATCCTGCACACTCCATCATCCTGGCCTCTCCCCAGCCCTGGATTTTGATGCATTTTTAGCCAAGTTGAGACACTGAGCACCAGAGAAGGTGACATTTAAAAAGAATAGAAGGGCTCCGTGCTAATGGCTCACACCCATAGTCCTAGCTACTAAGGATCATGGATTAGAAGCCAGCCCAGGCAAGAAAGTTTGAGACTTTTATCTCCAATTAACCCCAAAACGCTGCAAGTGGAGCTGTGGCTTAAGTAGTAAAGCCCTGGTCTTGAGAAAAAAAAAATTCAAGTAGCTAGGCACTGGTGGCTCACATCTATAATCCTAGCTACTCAGGAGGCTCAGGATCATGGTTCAAAGCCAGCCCAGGCAGGAAAGCCCATGAGATTCTTATCTCCAATTAATCACCAGAAAACCAGAAATGGTGCTATAGGTCAAAGTATAGAGCACTAGTCTTGAATGCAAAAGCTCAGGGACAGCACCAAGGCCCTGAGTTCAAGCTCCATATCCAACAGCAACACCTTGAGTTACAGTCCCAGTACTGGCATGCATGCAGGCATGCATACATACACACACACACACACACACAGAAGGGCAGGCTCCTATTTGTGACCCAGAGGAGCCCTTACCATGGAGGAGAAAGAGTCAGGGTGTTAAGGAGGAGAGGACTAGAATCTTCCAGGATCACAGCTGCTCCCCACCAGGTCGGGACAGCACAGGGAGGGAACTCTATCTCAGGTAATCAAGCCGAAGACAGAGAGTGACCTAGAGAAGCCAAGCTCTACAGAGTTGTCCAAGGAGGACACAGA